TCGATGGGTACATAAGGGGCTGCGTGAAGCTGCTGCCCGCGTGCCGCGCGATCGAACCGGGCGAAGCTGCTTCTGTCTACCGGCTGGACCTTGGACCAATGTGCGTGCCGTCGGTAGCACCAGCGCCCGCAATGTCTGAGGCTGCCCAGACGTCTGCGCTTGGCGGTGCCTGCACCGGCATCAGCCTTCGGGCCACCCACATGGCAGCAGCTGAGTAAACTAAAGGCTTCTCCAAACTGCAGGCAAGTTTGCGAGCTCCAGCGGTAATGCAGGCAGACGCCAGTCGAACCAAGAGAAGCATGGACACCCAGGCTGTGAATTGCTCAATGTGAAAGATCTCATCGAGCCCAGCCCCCAATGGTTTTCACCGATCGCGAAAACCTGATGGTCATCAAGGGCTCAAGCAGCTGCGCCCACTTTCAGGGCGCAGTCCGAGCATGAATGCGCAGAAGTCGAACAGAGGCAAGATCCATTTGAACCAAGACAAATACGCAAGCATGCTCGGCCTCGAGCAGAAACAAATCCAGCAAATGAGCTCCCAACGCTCACTTGTAAACGCCTGGGCAACACCTGGGCGTAAACCCAACATGTTGTTTGATGAACCCTTGGCTACCTAGAACTAGGTGAACAGTTTGAAATAGATGGCACCAGTCCCCGCATGGATTAGTCATTTCTCGTAACTTACCCACTGAGAGTTGCGCCATCGACTTTCGCCTTTGGCCGTTTCGGTCACCGACCGCAGCTCGCACCGAGTCTCTGAGTCAGCGAAGCAGGCCCCAACAGAGGTCAAAAGAGGTCAATAGAGGTCGGTCAAAAGAGGTCAAAAGAGGTCCAAACAGGTCCAAAGAGGTCAAAAGGCCGCAGGCCCCAGATTTCCCCTTTTTGGTGCTAAAGATCACCTGCGCTGTGAGCTTGCTTGCGGGTGATTATTTAAGGGACGGGCGAGATCTCCGACAATGGATACCAGCTCCCAGGGAGTAGGGTATGACCTTCTGTTTCTTCTTTCAAGACATGCTCAAGTCTCCTCTGGACAAGAAGAACGTGGTGGCTTCAGGACCAAAAGCAAAACCACATCTTTAGTTTTGGGGGCTGTGCACCTATTTTGACACAAAAATAGACAGTTCAGGATGGTGGCACATCCGGAAGGATCCGAATCTGGAAAGAACTCCAGGTCACCCGTTCGGTATGGATAGCGTCAGCGAAAAATATGTGACAGGACCTGCCAGTGGGTATGTGTCAAAATAAGGATTTGAACGCCTAAACTTGCATATTTTCTTTTTTGGCTTCTCCTCAAACAAGGTGAACAAGGGCACCCGCCAAAACACACAGCCATGTGTTCCTTTCCTTTTCTCGCACCTTTTCACATTGCATGCACGCGGCGCAACTCGCGATGAGTTTGCGCGGCTATCAGGCAATCAGGGCAATTGAAATACTGCCACCCAAAGCGGAAGCTTGCCATGTGCGCCCATGAGTGCCCAAACGTGCCCAAACAATGCTGGCTGAATCGAAAAGAGCTCCCTTCTTACACAAATATCTCAGTGTGTGTGTGTGTGTGTGCGCGTTTGTGTGGCTCTGCGGATAGGTATCCTATTCACAACAGTTGGTGCCAATCCAAATCCATCCGATTGTATCCGATCGGCGCAAACTCGTCACGAATCAGAGCCGTGAGCCTTGAAGGCTGCCCGCCATGGTCAACCTTTTTTTCTGCACGACTCATTCGCGCATGTGGAGCCTTTCGTGCGCCCGTGTCCTTGCCAGACCAGAACTCATTTATTTATGAGAAACCCTCAAGATAAACAAAAAAAAACACCTACAATGTGACAAAATAATTCATACATGCATCATTAAATAGGCAAATGAATAAGTTGTTGTTCTTCTTCTCTTTTTAAGAGTAAATGCATAATAATAAATAAACCAACAAATAAATGAAAGAAAGAAATACAAGGAACATGGGTGGCGTCCTGGTGGTCTCTCTTTGGAACAACTCTCAAAACAAGTCCCCCCCCAAAAAAAAGACGCACCCAGTAGTGGATAAAAAAAATGAGCCCGGAACTGGATCGAACCAGGTTGAGAAGAACTCATGCCATGCAGCCCCCCCCCCCCAAGAAAGCAAAACAAGGATTTGTCAGCGCACCAAACTTGAGGCCTCTGCCAGTTGGCCTTCAAAGTAGGGATTTGGACCGCCCAACAATGGCCTCGCTGTTCCTTTTAAAAACCGTGAACAGGGTGCTGAATCTCAAAGACAGAGCTTGCCAAATCTATGGGCAGACCTCTGGCGCGGCCCTTCCCAGAGCGGGAAGCCTCTCACTCCCCCGCTCCCCGACGTCTGCAGGGAACGAGGGCCGAAATGGGAGCGTGGAGAACACTTTGGCGCCCTGCCATCTTGCGGGTTCTCAGGGAATTTGATGTTCTGTTTTGTGCTGGGAGGGGGGGACCGTTTCCAGGATGAAGGGGAGCCCATTTGTACCTGAAGTGCCCGTGCAGGGGCTATTTCGGGCACCAATTGCCAGCCCTCGGAAGCTTTGCTATGAAACTAGGGAGGGGTCATTCCCTGCGCACCAGCAAGAAGCGCATCGTCCCGGAGTCGCAGGCGATCGAGCGTCCTAGAATGTGAAATCCTGAAATGAGGTGCCAAACAATTAACATGTGGGCTTGTCTTGTTGTTGATACCCAATTTTGCGGGTTACTCCAAAGGAGCTAAAAGGAACAAACAAGTATTGGGCTCCGTTGACCCCCCAAAAGCATGGAGAAGCCAATGGGCCGACTGACTCGTGCACATATACGCCTCATCATGTATCCGAACTTCCCTCTGTAAGCACAAATAAGACTTGGATTTCTGTACTCAGGCCCTGCTATGCAGACATGTGTACTTGCAAGCCTCAAAGAGGCAGCGGCAAAGGCTAAGCTTTTTCCGCCGGCAACATCACAACCGACACAGACACACAAACACACAGACACACCAAAACACTGACACACAGACACACTGACAAACACCGACACACGGACAGACAGACAGACAGACAGACAGACAGACAGACAGACAGACAGACAGACAGACAGACAGACAGACAGACAGACAGACAGACAGACAGACAGACAGACAGACAGAGACAGACAGACAGACAGACAGACAGACAGACAGACAGACAGACAGACAGACAGAGACAGACAGACAGACAGACAGACAGACAGACAGACAGACAGACAGACAGACAGACAGACAGACAGACAGACAGACAGACAGACAGACAGACAGACAGACAGACAGACAGACAGACAGACAGACAGACAGACAGACAGACAGACAGACAGACAGACAGACAGACAGACAGACAGACAGACAGACAGACAGACAGACAGACAGACAGACAGACAGACAGACAGACAGACAGACAGACAGACAGACAGACAGACAGACAGACAGACAGACAGACAGACAGACAGACAGACAGACAGACAGACAGACAGACAGACAGACAGACAGACAGACAGACAGACAGACAGACAGACAGACAGACAGACAGACAGACAGACAGACAGACAGACAGACAGACAGACAGACAGACAGACAGACAGACAGACAGACAGACAGACAGACAGACAGACAGACAGACAGACAGACAGACAGACAGACAGACAGACAGACAGACAGACAGACAGACAGACAGACAGACAGACAGACAGACAGACAGACAGACAGACAGACAGACAGACAAACACACAAACCCACAGACGCACAGACGCACAAACACGCCAAGACACAGACACGCAAACACGCAAACACACAAACACCACAAGCGTGCACACGCTGACACACACACACACAAGCACGCACGCACGCACGCACGAAAGCACGAAAGCACGAAAACACGAAAACACACGCACACGCGTTCTGCACATCAAAGACTCAATTGTGAACTTTCGATTGTTTAAAAAGGGGGGGCGAAAAACTGTGCGTTCCTTTTCGGGATTATCGCACTTTACTCATTATCGTTTTACTGTGTTTTGCAGCTCCGGCTGGAAAGGCGGAACTTGTAAGTACAGGTGTAGTACGCGAAGTACACTTTGGCAGTCCTGGCTCGAATTCAGTACAAGTGTAGTACACAAAGTACACTTGGGCAGCTCCGGCTCGAAGGTCGCAACTTTTAAGTGCAATAGTAGTGCTACGCGAAGTACACTTTGGCAGTCGTGCATCACTCTTGTCTTCACGGGGTTTCTCGTTTTTGTTGCTTCTTATCGTTTTGCAAGGGCTGTGCATGTTTTGTCGAAAAAGGACCGGCCCAATACTACAGTCGTCTTACCCATCTTTTATACAACACCGCTTCACTTCTTATTAAAAAAGCAGGTGTGAAATGTCCAACTAGAAGCTCAGAAACCGGGACAACCAAAACAAACACAAAAAACGGCCCATCCATGACTGAACTCAGGACCCCCGCATGTGTTTTTGTTCTGGTTGCAGCTGGTCACTTGAAGGTGCCAAGTGACCGCGCTGCCCCTTTGGGGGTAGCCTCCCTGCACTGCCATGAAACCCACCAAAAGCGAGGACAACAGACAGGATTCATCTTGGGATCCCAGGCTGCTTCACTTCAGGGGGGAGTCGGGAGGGCAAGGCCGGGCGGGAGGGCCTTCAGCCACGGGCTGAAGCGCGTCTCAGGAAGGGCTCTGGCGTTGTTCGAGTTCCGTTTGAGCTGCTTTGTGGGACCTTGTCGCGGTGCGTAAAGCTATATCTGATATGAGGGTGGGTCCACTAAAACGGAACCCCGCTGTGTGGACCATGAACAACAACCAGAAACAACCAACCCTTTGCCGGGGGGGGAAGTTAGCCCCAAGACAAACTCACAAGCTGGTTGAATGAAGCGTCGCTAGGCTGGCGACACTAGCTGCACCTGCGCTTCGCCTGCGCTCGTGAAACTGGACAGGTGAAACGGTCCAATCCTAGCAAGATCCCAAAGCCAATGGCAAAGGTGCAAGCCACTTGTGCTGATTTACTTGATCTGTGCACATAAGCGAGAAGGCTGCCAAGCTTGGACGAATTTTCAGGCCAAGGTGATGGCGTGCTTGCCATCCTTGAGCTTGATATTGTTCCTGAGTCGATCTGACGCGTGTGCAATTGACCTCAGAGACTGGGTGCTACATAGGTCTACCAGCCAAAAGCAGCAGAGGACCTTTTCTGTCTACTTTAGGGGAACCCTCCCCCCAAAAAAGAAACGGTAAAAGGGCACCTAGCTGGGGGGCCAAACGCCTTGTGACAGCCTACGAAAACAGCCCCGTGTTTCATAGCAGCGCGGGCTGAGAAGATGCCCACGTTGAGAAGTCGACCGACCCCTGGCGACAGCCGCAGCTTAACTGTTGATGTGCGACACGCTTTGACGGCAGCCTGTATTGTGTAAAGCTGTTTCCTAAAGAGGGTCCAGAAGACTGGTTCCACTGTTCGGGGGGGGGGCGGGGTGTCACATTCAAGCAGGTCCCACATTACAATGATTGTCACTCTACATTCCCTGCTCAGAGTCTATGAGTCTATGACGAGCATTGTGACCTTGGCACACATGGATGAGCCATGTGTGGATCATCCGCTCACGAGGCAAAGCGGTGTTAGAGTCGGAACAAATTACAGCCGCGCAACGGTAGCCGAACAACCCCTCCTTGATCAGGGCCTATGTCTCCCCGGTAATCCAACGACAAGACATATTCTGGCAGTTTCGATGTCCCCCCCCCCCAAATAAAACCTGCTGGAGTTCCTCTTGGTTTCCCTTTTAAACCCACTCCAAAAGAGGGGTTGCCTCAAAAGACAGACACCCCCACAACCGTCGGTCCTCCCGATGAAGTGCTCGGAGGGGGGGGGGGTAGGGGGCTAGGGGTAGTCTAGTGTAGTAGCTAGATGTTTATTCCTTTTCTCTGGGTGTGTCTGGAGGTCTTCATTTGAGAATAACGATCTTGGGTTTGCGAACCACTTCACCCCCAAAACCATGTCGCTGCTGGGGACCATGGCCTACTCTGAGGCGCCCTGCTTTTCCGCGAGGAGCCCCACCCACAAATCCAGCTCCTCCTCTGATTCCACCTGCGGATCAGCTACGGACAAAAAGGCCCTGTCAGCATTGGAGATGATCAGCTAAACCGGTCCCTGCCCTGGGTGGGGCAAAATATGGTTTAAACACCACCTTTACAAGGGAAGAATCATCATAACCAGAGGTTTAAACATGCTGTTTAAACCAATGGGTGGCCCCACCCTTTCCCTGCCAGCTCCAAATGGTGAAGGTCTCCTTCTGGCTTCCGAAACCAACCAAAAGCGGATCACGAACAAACTTGAACGAATCGGAACTGTTGCCTCACCGAAGGCCCTGTCAGCACCAAAGTTGTTGATGCTTCAGCTGACCGGAGTACCAAGGGCCTGTCAGCCAAGGGGGAGCCCATATCACAGAAATCGGATCGTCCACACCCGGCCCTGTCAGCATGGGAGGTGATCAGCTGACTGGCTTCCTGCCAGCTCCAAATGCTGAACGTCTCCTTCTGGCTTCCGAAACGGAAAACCGCTCAAAGCCTGAGTGTTGCCAGCGGAAAACGTCGGGGTTGTCCTTCCGGTTTCCCCCGAAACCAACCTAAGACGTCTCTTCTTTTTTGGTGGGGGAGCTCCCCAACATCTTGGGCTTGCCTTCTGGTTTCCCCTGGAAACCTCCCACTCCAAAAACCGCCACGAGGCCATCCCTGACACGTGGCCTTCATCTGCAGCGGTGGCAGGTTCAACTCTTGGAAGCGGCCGTCCTCCATGAGCCTGGCGAGCGATCGACGTCCGCTCCGCGCGCTGATGGATCGGTGCTTGGGTGGTTCGGTGCTTCGGTGATTGGGAGGTTTGGTGGTTTGGCGATTTGGTGATTTGGTGCTTTGGTGCCTTGGAAGGGCGTTTTTTTTTGCTTAATTGGTGGTTTGGAAGGGTGGTTCGGAGTATATTGGCCTTACCCGCACATGTCCAAACCTTTGGTGTATGCTTGGATAGGCTAGCGGTTTGGCACCAAACACCATATATCAGCATGTTCCGCATTCGGTGCAACATGATAGGGGGACCCCAACATGGTGGTCTTCCAGTTGTTTTCCCTTTAAATACGAAGGTGAAAAGGATACCCTCACAAAACACATGGAGCACACACTGACACCCATTCGCCGAAGCGGAACTTGCATCCCGGAGAAAGTGGTGCAAGCAGCACGTCAAGTAGAGCCTTTGATCGCGGCATCGGCATGCCTCCGATGCCTGCCGCTGATTCCTTAGCAATCAGCCCTTGACCTGTCCTATTTTTTATAATGTAGACCCCGGATCTAAGTAGAACCCGTCCTATTAATAGGAGGCTAATGGTGTGTGTGTGTGTGTTCCCATTAATCAGTACATACTAAAAGGTGGTGACCCTGACTAAAAGAACAAAACCAACCAGGGGTTGACTAATGCAGGGTTTCCATTGCTTGGGCGCTCGGCCGAGTTTGTCACTTGTTGGCAACTTCGGAGTTAACTCTGCAAGTTGTGGGTTATGACAGTGGCTAGCCACCAACCATGAACCATACACGGAAACATTGCAACAGGCACCCGAGTCTAGGAGAGCTCAACCATGTCAAGTTGTCTTACCACTCTTGCAATTCTGTCAGCGCAGTTTCCCTTTTGGGGGGGGACATGGGAAATGAAGAGAAATCACATATTTTCTAAGTGCCTCTACTTAGGAAAAAGCCCACAGTAAATCACTGTTTTATAGCCCAATGGCCCATCCACCAAAACCCCCACGAGACCTCAAGCCCGCGCTCCCCGCTGCCCCGGCAGTTTTCAAGCCCGAAACCTTTGTACAAGCCTTGAGCGCACAGCGCAAACCAATACAAGCGAAACCAGCGCCGCTTAAAACCAAGCCGAGGTGGAGCTGAAAGGCTCCTGAATCTGCGCCAAATCTTATTTTGAGAAACATCCAAATGATAATCACAAATCGGAAGGAAGGAATCCAACCATCTAAGGGAGCTTCATCACGGCGCCCGAGCTCGCTTTACCCCCAAGTGAGCTCGCTGCAAGTTGTGCGATAGATCACCAACAAAGATAAGTCACAAAGATAACTCGCAAATACAACGCCATGTTGATGCCAACAGAATGGTGTGGAATGCTTGAACAACAAGATGCCGAGAAAATCCTCATGAAACGTAAGAGGGGCTGGATTTCCAAGTTTCCAATGGATAGACCTAATAAAATACGGGGCCAAACTCATTGCTCACCACACTGTGTTCCGAAGTTTGAAGTCCACTCAGTTGGGAGTTGAGTTGAGCTGAGTCCTTTGTGCATGCGTGTAGACATCTGATAATCGATGGACACCTTCAATTCCCCAGGGACAGTCGGACTCCCCCCCCCCCGTCATATAAGGGCCTGAAACGTTAGAAACCAATCTTGGCCGTTGACGTATTGTAACAATGTGCGGAAAAATGATTTCGTCCCTCATATTACATCCGGACTTGCGAGTCCGAGGAGAAATTCAGCTCCGACGGTTCCCTTCAGCCCTGAAGCGACGCCGAGCACGCTGGGGCGCTTTTGCTGGAACGAAGCGGCAAAGGCTGCAATCGCTTCTGGAACCCGAAGGGTGCCACTCCGTCCCCCGGCCCCGGGATCTCTGTTGAAACTCTTTGACCTTTTCAGGTTTGCATATGGAGTTGGACTGGAACAAGAACCCAGGACTCCCTAGATCTCCATTTTAGATCAATATGAGTCGGAATCAAACATGTTGTATCTATAGGGGCAAAGGCAAGGAAGCAAAGGTGGTTGGTGTTTGAAACCAAGGTCTAAGGAAGAAGGCAATTTGTGTTTACTAATTATTTGTCTCCTGAAGCCATCCCTTTATGCGGCATCTCCCAATTATAGGCAATACTCGGGTGGCAGCTGTGTCCACTTTGGAATTCCCGGCTGATTCTTCGGGGTACCCATTCTCTCTGTCCATTGGCCAAAACGAGTCGGCTTTTTCTCAGATGCCCAGTGGCCAGGGAAAAAAAGAGAGCATCCTTTTCTGGTTAATTAGTTGACTTTAAAAGGGGAACCCTTCCCAAAAAAATGAAAAAAGGGGCACCACTGGGCAACTGGGCTTTAAAGGGACCGAGTCCAGCAACCGGGCAAGAAAAACTGGATCCCAGCCCGGGTGAAGATGGGCGAGCTTTCGGCTTGGCGATCTTCCGGGAACTCGAACAGGGTTCCTGAGATGGGTGTGAGGTTTTTTAAATGGCCAATTTTGGTGGGGATTCATGTCCAACAATTTGAGGGTTTGAGGGATCCGAATGAAAATTCATGGCCGTCCCCTTTACATCTGCCCACTCCACCAAAGGGACACTCATGCCAAAAATGACGACAACTTGTGGGCCACCGAAAAACAAGAAATCCTGCCACCAGAACTTTCCTCCCTTCAAATGGGTCTTTCCAAAAGTTGATGTTGAAACTAGATGAAGCGCGAGCGACCAAAATGACCTGCCAAGAAACAAAAAAACTTGTAGGCCACCAACATGTCAATGTGTTCTAGGCCACGGATGATGCTAGCCAAAGAGGCGTTGTTGTTTTTGGACTCTAGCTCACCAATTGGCAACCAACCAGCCAGCATAATTTTTGACGGACCCGGTCAGAAGCCGAGCCAACTCAGAAAGCCCTGCTTGTTGCTGGGCAGCCCCCGTATCGGCACGTACACGGTGCCCGGCCCATCGTCTGGCAGAAAATGCGCGGGTTTTTGTCGGGGAGGTGGCTGTCCAACCCTGAAAAACCGTATGGATCAGCCCAAGGCTGGATTTCCCCTCCACACACACCCTTTTTCAGGCAAACAACACGTCGCAACAGTGCTTTTTTTTGCCCCCCCCCCCCTCCCCCCCGTGGCAGCAACAAACCCCAAGAAATATGACACGATACATACGGACCCCTAATTCACCTCTCACTATCCCTCATTTACTCCCTGAGGTTTCCACCTTTCATGGTCGAAAGGGAACTTTTTGTTGGACTTAAATTCAGCTCCTGTCCGAAGAAACCTCGGGGACTACTCTCCAACAAATTAAAAATGGATCCCAAAACTGGAGGCACCTCCTTTTTTGGGGGACCTCCTTTTCGGGTTCCGTGTCGATTTGCAGGGGAGCAAGTTCAATTCGGAAAAACCCGCGCCTGGCTTGTCCACCGCATCCAGGCGCACACAGAGACTACCCACCGTGGTAGGGCTCGCAGCAGCCGCTTCCGCCACCTCCTCCACCGTCATCACCGGACCGGTGTGGTACTCCTGCGGACGTGTCGGTGTTGGCTTCTTGGCCGTGTAAACGTCCCAAGGGGGAAGCCAGTGTCACTTGGGCTGCATTGTGTTCAACTTGCTCCATGCAAGATATGGGGAATCCAGCTGTTTGGGACGGGGCTTTAAACAATTCCCAAAAGAAACCGAGCTAAGGGAACTGAACGTAAAGCAAGCACGTTAAAGGATCTTTGGTTTTGACACCCCGAGAGTGTCACCAGAGAGCAAAGGACAAGGTTGGGCATGCGTCAAAAGAAAGGGTCTTCTAAAAAAAGACACCCAAAGGGCAGCTTTGAATCAAGGAGCCGCTCAGAAGGTCAACCGAGCTATGTTCATTTTGACCTGACAGCGGATCTCTCCATCTCTCCAGAAACCTCCGCTGGTTGCTAGGAGGGTTGCTATGAGGGAGATCTTGAATGAGCTTGAAAAGACCCAGGTGCTTTCGTTGAAAACCAAGAACCAGCAAGTTGCTGGCATCAACTTGCTTGCTCAGTAGGGAATGAGGGAATGAACTCAGGTCCCTTTAAAGGACACCACAAGGGATGGTTTATAGGGTTCATTCCCTCATTCCCTGCTGAGCACCAGCAAGATGTTCAAGAAACCAAAATATAGCGAAACCAAAATTCACCTCAAGCCCACCTGGACCCTCTACAAGTGGGTTTTGGGCCCCCTGCATGTTCTGAACGGGCGAGTTTTACCACAAAACCGAGCAATCCGTCGGTCCGCCATCCAGGCTTCCATGTACTCGGGGTTCATCTCGGGGTTGTTGCACACATTCTGCAGGATCTGGCAGCCCCGCAGGGCGTAAGGGCACATGTTCCGAACCTCGCAACCGGCCGAACGGCCGAACGGCCAGGGAGATCAACAGCGCCAGGTCTGAGTGGGACGAAACTTGGGTTCTACCAACGTGCTTTCAGCAGCTGTGTTCTGCTGCCCTAAAAACATCACATGAGACCAGGTAGTAGAACCTATACCAAAATTGCCCATGGGTGTTCGCACTGCTCATAATATCATTCTAGGGGTACCCGCCCCGTTCTTTCCAGGGATCCTTCTTTCTAAAAACCCACCAGAAACCCAAGGAAACGGCCGGTTTTCAAAAGCACGATGGTTGAAAAGAATGGGGAATCAAACCCTGGAATCATATCAAAACAGCGGGACATGTTTTGGCCAAATCTCAAAACAATCGCAGTGAAGGTCCAGCCGAGGTAGTATAAAGAAAAAACTGTTTCTTGAGCACCTGCTGCAGGTGCTCATCGCAGCTGGGTGGAATCCACCTAAAGTTGGGATGCGAAAAGAGATATTTCAACAAAGAAATGAAGAAACACAAGCCGCAGTCATATCCTTGCAAAAGCAAACTCCCGAACTAAGACTTATTGGGGAGTTTGCTTTTGCGAGGACAACACAGCGGTCTTTGATCTTTTGGCATCCCAACTTTCGCAAATAGACAAGCTGGTTGAGCTCTTCGGGAATGCCATCCAAGATTTTGCTCGACCGAACGCCCGAAACTCAG